TAACGGTTTCGAATGAATAGAACTTTTTGCACGGCTCAACGAATGGTCAAAACACAACGGGTTCACCCCAAAATTGGTGTGTTTTGGTTTGAGAACGTGTAGATCAAGTTTAACGGAGCGGATCGCAAAAAAATTTAGGAAATGATATGATTCTAGGCCGCGTCCTTAGGTAGGAGCCTAGGGTGTCACCTTAGATTCACTTTTCCCTATATATATATGTGTGTGTGTGTGTGTGTGTGTGTGTGTGTACACACACACACAAACACACACACACACACACACATATATATATATATATATATGGGTATGCTTGGTATCAAGTACAAAAAGTTATGCTTGGTAGTGAGGTGTCACATCCTCCTCCACTCATTCAAATTTGGGATCACATTCACATGAGTAGGGAGTGGATGAGGATGTGACACATCACTACCAAGCACAAAATTTGTGGTTGGTACCAAGCATACCCATATTTCTCATATATATATATATATATATATATATATATATATATATATATATATATATATATGTGTGTGTGTATATATATATATATATATATATATATAGGGAAAAGTGTTCCTAAGGTGACACCTTAGATAATCATCTAAGGATGCGACCTAAAATCACATGATTGAGCTACATTGTGGATGATCCGCTCCGTTGAACTTGGTCTACATATTCTAAAACCTCAACACACCAAGTTTGGGGTGAACCCGTCATCATTTGACCCTTCATCCACGCGTATCAATTTTAACGGTTTCGAATGAATAGAACTTTTTACATGTCTCGACGGAGAGTAAAACGACGATGGGTTCACCCCAAACTTAGTGTACTGGGATTTTAGAATATGTAGATCAAGTTCAACGGAGCGGATCATCCATAATGTAGCTCAATCAAGTGATTATCATAGATCAAGTGCAACGGAGCGGATCATCCATAATGTAGCTCAATCAAGTGATTTTACGCTGCGTCCTTAGATGATTATCTAAGGCGTCACCTTAGGAACACTTTTCCAATATATATATATATATATATATATATATATATATATATAGTATATTATATATATAATATATATATATATATATATATATATAATACTATATGTGGTGTGTGTGTGTGTTGTGATGTGTGTGTGTGTGTGTTGTGTGTGTGTTGTGTGTACTATGTATATATATAATATATATATATATATATACTATATATATATATATATATATATATATATATATATATATATATATATAATATATCATTATATATATATATATATATATATATATATATATATATATATATAATATATATAGGAGTATATATATATATAAAATATAAAGTTGTGTGTGAGCATGTGTGTGTAATGTGTGTGTACTGTGTGTGTGGTGTGTATGTGTGTGTATTCGAAACTTCGTAAGTATATCCTCAATATTGAATCAAAGAGTTGCAAATTCAAACAAGTTTAAAATAAAAAAACGTGCAAATTTGTGGCGAAATTGGTAAACTTTTCGATTAAATGAAAGTGTATTCATTATATTACAAGGGATAATCGTTCATATTATCTTTCCTAGCATAGAAAAAAAACAAAAATATAAAGGTATGTGGCTTACCATTTTGAAAGGAGTAAGGATGCACCGGAAGTAATGTCTAAAAAACCCAATGATTTTACAAGTAAAGAGAAAGGATTCCGCGAAGCAAGAAAACACTATTTCAATTGTCTCAATCATTTTATTAATAATGAGAGGAAAAGATAGATTCGAGGCGAGGACAAATAAATAGGGTAGAGACGACTCAAGAATTCTAAGGATTTATTCATTCGAACTTTTCAAGAAATTACCCAACTGAGTTATGAGTACGAATGATATTTCTTTTATTCTGTAAATAAGAACAAAAAACGGACTAAATCATATAAATTCATGATTTTATGGATCCATTTGTTATTATATACAGAAATTATTGAATCTTTTTTTCTCAGAGCCGTATGAGAGAAAACCTCCTATACGTTTCTAGAGGGGATTGTTTATTACATCTATCCCAATGAACCGGATCTATCGAAGATTCTCTAATCAACACAACCAAATAAAAATGGTGAGACATTACATGGTTAAAGCTAACCTGTTTGAAGTCCGGGCACAATAATGGTACTCTTTCTACTCACTACGTTAAAACCGAAATGGTTTCAAAAAAAAAATTAGTTGGTCAATTTTTCCGATATATAACACTCATATCGATAAAATGATTTGAACCATTTACTAGAATAAATAAAGGGCACCTTGCCCTTTATTATCCAATGCCGAATCGACGACCTATGTATAAAAAAGAGGAATTTTTTGATTTGCATAAAAAAAGGAAATAAAATGAAAAAAATAATATATACATATAAATATAATATGAATATTTTCAAGTAAATAAAGAACAAATAAAAAAAACAACTTTGTTGACAATTATAGATTTTTTGTCTGGTCGGAAGAGTCCTCCTAATATTCTGGTCTTGTATCAATTTTGATATGTTTGAATACAAACAGAAAATAGAGAGGATAGGCTCATTACGAATTAGCCCCCCCCCCCCCCGATCGTGATTTCTCCCGAGGTGAAAGAAAAATATAGGAAATCTGTCTTTTCAGAATTATCGTGCCAATAAAGGAAATATTCTTGTCATAGGTCCTGTTCCAGGTCAGAAATATAGTGAAAAATCGTCTTTCCTATTCTTTCCCCGACCCTGCTACGAAGAAAGACGCTCACTTCTTAAAATATCCCATATATGTAGTGGCACCACCCAATAGCATGTTGCCACACCCCGTATTCTTCCAGAGAATCCCCTAATTGTTCCAGAGCAACTAGAAAGAGATTCTTTAACCAGAAAGAATTCGAGTTCAGATGTAAGGATAGCTATCCAGAAGTTTTTGCACTCAATCTGTATGATGGAATCATCAAAGATTTGATATTTTCAACTCTGTCTGTAACTCACTAGAGGCTCAGGAAACAAAGAGAAGATGGATACGAACGAGATATCCAGCAACAAGAAGAAGGAAAAGGATTGAATAGAGAGAACTCCATATATATATAATATATATAATATATATATATATATATATATATATATATATATATATATATATATATATAATTTATATTTTTTATATATATGTTTATGTATAATACAATTTGTTTATATAATTTCTATAAGTACTTACAATTTGTTTATGTATAATATATGAATGACATGATTATTAATAAAAAATTTATTTTTATCATTTTTTATTTTTATAAATTTTTATATTTGTAATTTATGTCATTTCAATTAATTTAAAAAATTTATGTTATTTTTTGTAATTTTTATGTATATTTTATGCTTTATTGTTTTTTTATTTAAAAAAATAAAAATAAAAAAAACCGGGCCGGCCCGGAGCCCGGCCCGCTCAGGCCCGGGTCCGGGCTTCGGTTTTGCCCGGCCGGGCCGGCTCGGATGGACAGGCAGGTCTTTTGATAGGGACAACTTATGTCTGGGTTATATCCTAATGTTCCAACGTTTTAGTGAAATCTAGACGGTCTACATCTAATCAAAATTACTAAGTCCAAATACCCAATTTGGTGGAAAATTAGAACCTACTAAACTCATATGAACCAAGGTGCAATTTCTAATATTGGACCAACTGTATAATATAAAACTTTTCACACTTAAAATAACACGGCATCTCTTGATGTGGCTACTCTAAAGGCAAAATCGATCATGTCTCCTTTCCATTTCTCTTTGTGGGATTTCTTTACCTCTTCTTCTCTTCAAGTGGTCTCATGGAGTGCAATCTTGCATAATTGGTCAATCTCTCTCCTTAGTTCTAAATCCATGTGTGGCTTTTCCATATAATAAAGAAATTTCCATACACTCTATTAATGCTTGTCTAACACCATAGTCATATAAATAAAAAAAACAAGGAAAGAGAAGATATGTTCCTCCTCTCGCTAGCTTCAAATCCTAGTCCTTATACAATGAAGCACTTCATTATTCTCTCATAGCTTAAATTTGATGTAATTAAGTTGCCATGATGCCCAATGGTTTAAGACTTGAGCTCTTGTAGATGCTCACTTTATCACTGAGTTTTGCTCCAAGTTCTCTACATGATTAGGTTTTTTTTAAGAGTGGTAATAATGGATGTATAGTTGATTGCATCTTGAGCTAGAGCGCATTACGCCAACCAAATTAACGGTTGCAATGGGCCATTTAACTTTATTAGGCTTTGTATTTTGCTTTAGCATCTCTTTTTTCTCAAACTCTTTTGTTTGGTCTTATATATTTTAATTTTCTTTTAGTCCAACAACTTCACCCCTGAGCACATTGGATGACAATGGGAAGGACCATATAATCAGCAACTTAATATTTATTTACTTCCATTATACATTTACGTGGCATAGTTTTATTCTTACGTGCATAAAATAAGCTTCTTAGGATTTGCACATGATTGTTTGTTGCAGACAATTTCTATTTATTCAGTACCATGGTGGCTGTAATAATAAGAAAAATAAGTAAATATTCAAAAGATCTAAACGCGGATCCAATTTGATCAAGACTTAATTACAGATACAGCCCCCATCCACTTAAATATTATGAAGCTAACCATTTTTATTAAAACTTGGAACTCCAAATGTCCAAAAGGAGTTATCTTTTTGTAATATGTACCAATTTCATGAATGCCATGACATAAATATATTGCAAGGAGATCCTTTGACATTTCAATGTGTAAAACAGCAAATAAACATTTTAATGTTACGAAGAAGTATCTTACTCTCCTATAGTTGGTGAATACACACAATGTCTTATTCTCATGTAGTTGGTGAATACACACACTCTACAGTTCATGTACAAAGTAACGAAGAGAGAACTTTCTAGACACCAGAGAATCCAAATGTTAATAATAATGAAAAAAATAGCACTGTAAATGACCGCAACCGCATTAAACTATGTTCTTAATCATCCTATTCACATGATATTGTTCCCCAGAGAACGGTAAACCAAAAATGAAAGATAAAACACCTTTTGATATCAATGAAGAACTGCAGATACTACAAGAACTAGAGAATCCAAATCCCATATATATGTGTTGTATTCCTCATACAAGAACGGAAATTAACTTGTCACCAAACTTGAATGAGAATTTAAATTTTGTGCAATAACAAATATTACCCCTCAAGGGGGATTGAAAGTGCCTTGAGAGAAATATTCAGTCATCGCTCTTAATTTCCACGTCCATTACTGCTCATGGAATTCACATTTGTCTGAACGATGCCATCGTTTAGAGAACCGATCATCTCAACGAACTGATCATCTCAATGAAGATTGATTGATCTCGTCTGACAAACAAGAATATTGCCAACAGCTTGTCCGCTTCTTTCGTGCAACATTGCCACAACCGCACAGCTGAAAGCTTAAGAAAGAATGAAGGAAGAACTAGATAAGGGTTTTTAGCATTGTCATAATAAACTCATTTATATGAACTTAGATATCTGGATTTGAAGAAAGCACAAAAGTATGGCGAGCAGAATCAGAATCACTACAACTACTTGTTTGATTTGAACAAAGTTCTCAGTCTGAATTTGAATCTTAATCTGGAATCAGAATCACTACAACTACTTGTTTGATTTGAACAAAGTTCTCAGTCTGAATTTGAATCTTAATCTGGACTTCTCGACAAAAACCCACAAAGGTTGATTTGAACAAAGTTCTCAGTCTGAATTTGAATCTTAATCTGGACTTCTCGACAAAAACCCACAAAGGAAAAAAAATAAATTAAAAAAAAACATTTGCCATCACTAACAACCATCGCATATTTTTCTTTTAACCTTATCCTCTCTTCTATTTTTCTTTCTTCGTTCTTTTGCGTGGGCGGGGGCGGGCGCGTGTGAATGTCTTTAGCTGGTGTGAACTATTCGTGCATGTATTCATCAACTAAAGAAGCCTTTTTAGTGTTTATCTTGATACAACCTAGTGTGCACGTTTGCATACAAAATCTCCAAGATTGCAATGAAATTGTGATATTAAAGTGTCATTGTGCATCCTCCCTAAGAGTTCATATATCCAACCATCCTGCAACATCAGAGGTATATAGTCTGAAGATTTGGCTTTCAATCTATCTCTAGATGAATGGACCAAGATAAGGGAATTTTATCTAATTCACAGTTAAAAAGAATGCTAGCATGCACCATAAATCTTCCTCCTACACATTAGGGAACAACATCACCCTTTCAACAGTTGAGTATCTAAATTCCCTAATTAGTCCAATAGATGTTCGAAAGACTTGACCAACTGTTACAGTTTCTGTTCCTAGCCCCCCCCCGCCCCCCCCTCTGAAGTACGGGATGAGGACATTCACAAGGGTATCAAAAGAGTCAAAATAACTCCAAGCTAAGGGTTTAATAACCTCAAATAAATTATCTTCTTTCATCCCAGCCTATTACTAAACAACGCCCATGGTGTTAACATCTGTCTCCCCTCCTTTCCAATTATCTCCCTCTAAAAATTCAAGTCTTTTGAATTATCTAGTTAAGGATGCCAATGGTCCAAATTGGGCAGCGTATAGCTTCTATTAGTACCTAATTATAACAGACAAGGATGCTGAGGAACAAGTCACCTTGAATACAGACTAATGAGGATGCAAATTTCACGAACTGACACAATTAGCCAATGAACATGACAAGCCAGGGAGGATTTGGTTCTAATAAAGAATACAGGACTTCATCCAACTTAACAAGCTGCCACAGGGCACGCTCATTCACAAGATTTAAATCTCCACGAGGGCAGGGCTCCATTGAGATGATAAAACTTACATTGTGTCCTCGCTCCAGTGTTGAAAAGTAAATCTCATAAAGAGCATATTTGGATGTCGTCTAATTTGTTGAGCTCACCCATGATTCCTCTCGGTAGGAGATAATAATACTGAGAATAGAAGAATGAGATTGTGAAGGTTGGCGTTGGACACACAAAAATAAAAACAAAGAAAATAAAATAAAATAAGGAAAAAAAGAAAAAGTAGTCCCAACAGAAAAATACTTAACCTTAGGTTGAGGGTACAGAAACGACACTTCCAAAAAAAGAAAAAGTAGTCCCAACAGAAAAATACTTAACCTTAGGTTGAGGGTACAGAAACGACACTTCCTAATTACTCAAATGTTGTTATGGAAGACATCCACCCACCTGTAACAATGATAATTGCTAACATACTCCCAAACTAGATGAAACTGCAATTACAATATTTTAGTAAAGATATAATACCCCAGCAGCACTCGTAGAATATCAGAGGAGCCTGATTCCCGAACAACCAAAAACACGATGTTGTTTATACGATTAATCTTGATTAGTAAAAAAGTTGTGCATAGCCTGAAAATAACCAATCTTAACCTAGAAAGATGGGAAAGTGGAAGAGAAATAATTGTCACACAGAAAAAGCTTAACAAGACATAACAGTGCATTTGTTGATATTATCCTCAACTTAACCACGAGAAACCAAGAGTTTCATACCTGAATCTGCATCATCCTTTCTAGCAACATGGGAGGACCTAGTTCATCTTATGATTTTTTCCTCACAGCTATAACTGAATATAATTTTGCAAAACTAAAGTATGAAATCAAAATATTTCTTCATAAAGCTAAACATGAAATATACATGCTTGATGCCCACTCCTATGTTTGGTACAGATACTTGAAAGGCAAATGCTTAAACAAGGTCTAACCCTCACAAGATAACTCCTAAGAATTATCAATGATATACTAATAAGAATGCCAGCAAGAATGGAAGGTTGAACTTCTTTCTTCTGAATTTGCTTTTTAGCCCTTTATGTTTCTTCCAGGCAAGGTTTCATGCTAAGTCGTGACTCAAGACGACAGGGATACTTTTTTTATCCCATCTTAAAATCTGCTAATGTTCATATTTCTGTAGTTACCCCTACACCCCTCCCATAATCACGAGTTATTCTACAAAAGAAACCTAAGAGTTTCATACCTGAATCTTCACCATCCTTTCTAGCAGCATGGAAGGACCTAGTTCATCTTCTGATTTTTCCCTCACAGCAATAACTGAATATAATTTAGCAAAACAAAAGTATGAAATCAAAATATTTCTTCATAAAGCTAAACATGAAATATACATGCTTGATGCCCACTCCTACTTATGGTAAGTGATGCAGTTAATATCTCAGTGACCCTTAATATTTGGGGTTTTTTTGGTGTGCGTG